CCCCAAAACCCCAAAACCCCAAAACCCCAAAACCCCGGGACAACTTCATAAAATTGATAATTAAATTCTAAAGATCTTGTTTTAGACCCACAAAATAAAAAATTAAATAATTAATAATGGAGAAAGGATGACTATATGAAAATGTACAAACTTCAAAACCTTGGTTAACCCCTCCAATAGCAGAAGTGTAGTTAACATAGATCCTCTTTCAGTGAATCAAGACCCAGGCTGAGAAGATAACACAGCAATCGAAGCAAACATAGGTTGTTTCAGAATGATATAGATTGATTAAGTCTACTTTTTAGGTCCGCCTTTTGCAAAGCTAAACACTTTCCTCACCCAAACTGGGCTCCTCTACCTTACTAAAGCCTTTCCATCACAAGATCTAGGCCTGCAAATAGCTTCATGTGGGGCAGGAGGAGAATATGAGTGAAGGTGATTGCTTTGCAGTGCTACCTCCTTCATGTTTTTCAGTTTATTTAAGAACCTTGTATTACAGCAATTATTTTCTCAAGTTTCTCTTCTAAATTCTGCATCTTGCTTTTTAGATTTACTATTTCATTATCTTTCTTTTCATTCTCCTTTAATAAGCACTTGTTTGCTAATTTAAGCTGTTCAATATCTTTAACCATTTTTCGATCTGGAGAGACACTGTTGCTACTATTATCTATTCTACATGATAATTCTAAGTTTTTCTCTCTTAAATCAGTATTACTAATGGCAAGTCTTTTGTTTAGGTCTAACTTTTCATTGTATCTCCCCACTACATTCTCTCAACTAGATTTCAGATTCCTTATTCTTTCTTCCATTCTCTTTATTTTTTGTTTTGCTCTATACAATTTATCTCATTAAAGAATAAGCAATGAATTTTAGACAATATTTAGGCAGCTGAAATCTTACTTTTTATACTTCTCTTTATACCCACTCTTTTCTTTCACAATTTTTTCAAGTTCTGTCATTAGAAAAGATAAGTATTTATTATAGCCATCATTTCCTATTCTTGTTGAGTATCCAATATCTGAACAATCATTTTCCCCTTCCAAATCTTCTACTATCGTTTTTCTTTTATAATTAAGTGTATTATGGATCCTCAATGGGTCGCTATCCATCTGAAGGGAACCATTGTCATTTTCTAATCTTGAATCTCAGGATTTAAGAAGCAAATGATTATAGGTTCTTTCTATTCGTGATCTTTGAGAGCATTCTTCTCACTCTGAATGTTCAGGTTCCCTTCTAAGAAGTTTAGGATACTTCCTTTCTAGAATGCTATTCCGATCAGATTTTAAGTTTGACATTCTATGAATTTCTTTGCTGTGCTTAACCTTGTTTACTAGGCTTTTGCCATTCTCCTTTGATTCAACATTGGCAGAGAATTTATTTATATTTGTTAAAATTAATCTATATTAATGCAAATTAGATTTCTAATTTAGAAAATAGGTTTGCTTTAGTAAAGAATTCTCAAAATAAAAATCTTTACAAAGATCTTTCTATTTAAAAGTTCATTTTTTTAGCTCATCAACAATAATTACTAACAAAATAAAGCTAAACTAAATGAATCTCGAAGTTCTTAAGAGATGGAGCAAAGAAAACACATATCAGAGTTCTATTTCTTTGTTTCCTTTGCATTCTATCAAAGTTATTTTTGGCAAACACATGCATTCTCTAACCCATTTGTTCTGAATTTTCATATATTTTATGGCAGATAAATCAAACATGTTAATTAAAAATCCAGAAAGTACTCAAACTCTCACCTTTGTAGTTGGAGGGGTTTCTATATGGTTCAAACAACTCATCCTGGATTTGTTATCTTTTTTGATAGAAGGGCTCATGAGAGATTGGCTATTTTTTGTGATTATTGGCCTGATCTTTTGCCTAGTTTTTGCAGTTGCTTGGTTTCTGGTTCTCTTCTTCTTGGATCAGAGGAAAGATTTTTCAGACTCTTCCTATTCAAGAATAAGAGTAAGTATGGTACTTTCTTAGTATATCTCTTGTACTGAGTTTTTGTTTTTCCTCTATTCTTTGAATTATAAGAACCTTCTGTAGTTCACTTCTTTTCTTCGATTTTTAATCTGCTATCGGTTTTTAGGGCTTAAGAATATTTGTAATTTTTTAATTCTCTGAAATACAGAAAAATAAATAAACTCTGCAAAGAGAGATTGAGGGAATTAAAGAATAAGGCCTAGAGACGATTAGATGATACTTCTAAATCTCTATTTTGCTTATAAGCTATAAGCTCTAACTAAAGCATCAAAAACACTGGAACTTGTAAATCTTGAAAAATTTCCGAAATTGTTTACTGAAGTGTTGCTTCTTTGTAAAACCATGATATTTGTAATTCCGAGGCTATGCTGGTCAGCAATTATGTATACCTGGCTGCTAGAACGATCTCTTGTTGTATATCGTACTCTTTCGGGCCCATATCTTTTTAAGTCACTGTTACTCCTCATTTCTTAAAATTTTAATAATATCTTCAACTCTGGGTTTAAATAGCGGGGTTTTGGGGTTTTGGGGTTTTGGGGTTTTGGGG